CTCTGGAGCCTCTCACTGCTTCTTTCGTGACAGCACGACCCTTACGCCTCTTCCTGCGCCTGTTTCTGTGGCGCTGGCTGATCCCACTTCGGGACCAGTCACCGCGCGTCACACTACCACCTTGCCATGTCCGGCTGCTCCTTCTGGGTCTCTCACTGGGTTTCACGTCCCCTCGTTCTCCCGGAACTTGGTGGGCGTGCGACCCCTCGTGAGTCAGCACGTGGGTGTGTGGTTTGAGCCTTCTGGAGAGACTGCGGTGTGTGTTGACGGGGACTCTTACCAGCCCCTCGCCACTTTTGCTGCTGAGCCGGGCTCCGGTCTCTACACTCTTCACACTGGCCCGCGCGCTCAGCAGCGACTGCAGCAGCAGCAGCAGCCGCAGCAGCAGCAGCAGCAGCAGCAGCAGCCGCAGCAGCAGCAGCCGCAGCAGCAGCAGCGGCAGCAGCCGCAGCCGCAGCCACAGCCGCCCCTCCTGCCCCCGGCCCCTGTTTTGCCTCCCGTTCGAGTCCTCGCGTCTCACCAGGTTGCTCCGTCCCCCCAGGTAGCTGTGTCTTGTCAGGTTCCTCCGTCTAGTCCGGTCGCTGCGTCGTGCTCCTGTCGGTCGCTTGCCCACCCCACCGTTTTGTGGCACCACCGGCTGGGGCACCCTTCTCCTCCTCGTCTTCGCGCTATGTCTCGTCAGCGTCTTGTCTTAGGTCTCCCGCGTGTCTTGCCGTCGCTGCCGCCGTCCCTTGCACCACCGTGCGGTCCTTGCGTCGAGGGTAGGCTGCGCGCCACCCCTCACTCCTCCTCCCTTCATCCGGCCACCGAGCCTTTTGAGACGCTGCACTTGGACGTCTGGGGCCCCTCTCCTCGCCCTGGCCCTGAGCGTGAGCGTTTCTTTTTGGTGGTCGTTGACGACTACTCCCGCTACACCACAGTGTTCCCCCTGGCGAGGAAGTCTGAGGTGACTTCTACGCTGATCAGGTGGTTGCTTACCACCCAGGACACTCGTGGTCGTCGTGTCAGCTGTCTCCACTCCGACCGCGGGGGCGAGTTTCGCTCCGGCATTCTCGCTGGATTCTGTCGCGAACAGGGCATTCGTCAGTCCTGGACGCTTCCGGAGTCCCCACAGCAGAATGGGGTTGCTGAGCGTCGCATAGGCCTGGTCATGGAGATTGCCCGCACCTCCTTGACTCACGCCCGTGCCCCCCATTTCCTGTGGCCATACGCGGTCAGGTACGCCGCGCACCAGCTGAACCTCTGGCCACGCGTCTCTCGGCCGGAGGCTTCACCGACCAGTCTTTGGACAGGGTCCCCTGGTGTCGCGTCGAGGTTTCGTGTCTGGGGGTGCTTGGCTCTTGTCCGCGACACCTCCGCGGACAAGCTCTCGCCTCGCGCCGTTCCTTGTGTCTTCCTTGGTTTCCCTGAGGACTCCTCTGACTTCACCTTTTACCACCCTCCCTCTCACCGGTTCTTTGACTCCCGTGACGTCCGTTTCGAGGAGTCCACCCCCTACTACGTCAGGTACCCCAGTCGAGGTCTCCCGGTTCCTCCTCCCCCTCTCTTCCTGACTGCCGCTCCCCCGCGTGCTCCCCCGATATAGCCTCCCCCCCCTGGTCCAGCCCCGTCTGGTGTGTCTCAGGCTAGCCCTCCCCCTTCGGTAGCCCCCCCTGTACAGCCTCCCTCCCCACAGTCTTCCTCGCCGCCTCCTGCAGGTGCTCCCTCTCGGGAGGTTGGTCCTGCGACTGTCCCTGTACAGGTCTCTGGTTCTGGGGGTGCTGGAGTTGGAGCTGAGCCGCGGGTTGCAGAGGACTCTTGTCTTCCGGGGGCTGGTACTGGTCGTGCGGAGTCTGGGGGTGCTGGTGCGGAGTCTGGGGGTGCTGCGTCTGGGGGTGAGGGTGTCCCTTCGGTTTCTGGAGAGCCTGGGTCTGGAGCTGGTGTTGGTGCTGCCTCTGGGGGTGGTGTGCTTGGTGCTTCGGAGGTCGACTCTGGGGCTGCCGCTGCCCCGGACACTACTCCTTCCCCCCACCCCTACCCGACCAGGTTCCAGGCTCGTGTTCGCCGTGCTCGTGAGGAGCAGCTGGAGTTGGAGAGAGAGGAGAGAGAGTTGCAGCGGCTCGAGGAGCAGGAGCGACAGCAGCAGGAGCAGCAGCAGGGGCAGCAGCCGCTGGAGCAGCAGCAGCCGCAGCAGCCGCAGCAGCAGCAGCTGTCGTCTCCTCCCCCTGTCTCGGGTCTTCGGACCCTTGGTCTCCCCTCTCCCTCTCCTTCCTCCTCCCCCTCTCCTCCCGTCTCTGGTCCTCCGCTTCCTCCTCCTGACCCCTCTCCCGCTGTTTTCCCTCGTTCTCAGTCTTCGTTGTCCCCTCCTCCTTCTCAGACTTGGGCCTCTCGTCGCTCCCCTCGTGCTCGTCCCTCGTCTCCTGTTCCCTTCACTGACCTTCGTACTGCCTTACTTCGTTCTAGTCCACCTCGTCCGTCTCTGTCTGTGCTTCCGTCTCCTCCTGAGTCGGCTCTCACTGCGTCGCTCCCTACTCCTGTCACTGACTACTACCGCACGTACCGTCCTGTTCTCTCTCGTGTTCTCGCCTCGCTTGTTACTCACCCTCGTGCCTCTGTGTCCTCTGTGTCCGCTCTTACTGCCGCAGTCACTGACTTTGCCTCTACCCGCCGCCTTGACTTCGCCACCGGTCTTGTGGCTGCTCCTCCTTCCAGTCCTCTGGCCGTCGGGGGTGTGTCTGCCCTTGGCTGTGACGCCCTAGAGGACAGGCAGTTTGAGCTAGAGTTCCTGGCGGCCGCTTCCCCTCATCTCTGTGCCATGCTCCTCGCCCCTGAGGGTGACCCCGACGCCCTTGACATTCCGACTCCTCGCACTTACGCTGAGGCAGTGTCAGGGCCTTGGGCCTCTCAGTGGAGAGCTGCCATGGACGCAGAGATGGCCTCCTACAGATCCACAGGCACCTACGTCGATGAGGTTCCCCCTCCGGGGGCGAACGTAGTCGACGGCATGTGGATCTACAGGGTGAAGCGGCCACCGGGATCTCCTCTGGTCTTCAAGGCGCGCTACGTGGCTAGAGGTTTCAGTCAGCGCGAGGGAGTTGACTTCTTTCAGACCTTCGCACCCACCCCGAAGATGACCACTCTTCGGGTGTTACTACACGTAGCAGCACAGAGAGACTACGAGTTACACTCTCTCGACTTCTCTACTGCTTTCCTTCAGGGCAGTCTTCACGAGGAGGTCTGGTTGCGTCGTCCCTCTGCCTTCACTGGCTCTTTCCCTCCTGGGACCCAGTGGAGGCTGAGGCGACCGGTTTACGGTCTTCGTCAGGCTCCTCGTGAGTGGCACGACACCCTGCGTTCTACCCTGTCTGACCTTGGGTTCCAGCCGTCTTCTGCTGACCCGTCGCTGTTCGTTCGTCGTGGCCCCACACCTTTCTTTGTTCTGGTCTACGTTGACGACCTTGTTTTCGCCACCCCTGACAGGGTTGCTTTGGCACACGTGAAGTCCGAACTGCAGAAGAGACACACCTGCACTGATCTTGGTGAGCTGCGCCACTACCTTGGCCTGCAGATCACCAGGGACAGAGCTGCTCGCACCATTACACTTTCACAGTCGCACATGGTGCAGCAGGTCCTTCAGCGGTTCGGGCTTCAGCACTCCACAGTACAGCACACACCTCTTGCTGTTGACCACAGACTCACTGGACCCTTTCCTGACGAGCCGTTCGAGCCTAGTGGTCCCTACGCAGAGCTTGTGGGTTGCCTCATGTACCTGATGACTTGTACTCGCCCGGACCTCGCCTTCCCTCTCAGCGTTCTTGCGCGCTTTGTTGCGCCAGGGAGACACCGTCCTGTTCACTGGACAGCAGCTGTGAGGGTGGCGAAGTACCTAGCGACGACGTCAGGCGTGGGGCTAGTTCTTGGAGGGCAGCAGTCTGTCGTACTTACTGGTCACTGTGACTCCTCTTACGCTGACGACGCTGAGACTCACAGGTCTACTCAGGGGTACTGTTTCAGCCTGGGTTCTGGAGCTGTTTCCTGGCGGTCCACGCGCTCCTCTTCGGTCTCGACCTCTACAGCTGAGGCTGAGATCTACGCTGGTGCCATGGCGGCACAGGAGCTGCGTTGGTTGACCTTCTTGCTCACCGACCTTGGTGAGCGGCCGAGCTCTGCACCGACCTTGTTCACTGACAACAAGGCGTCTATTCTCCTTTGTCGAGAGCCACGACTGGAGAGCAGAGTGAAGCACATTCACGTCAGGTACTTTCTTCTGCGAGAGTTGCAGAGGCGTGGACAGGCTCGCTTTGAGTTTGTGGAGTCCGAGGCCAACACTGCAGACATCTTCACCAAGGCGCTTCCGCCTTGTGACCACCAGAGGTGCTGTGTGCAGTTAGGCCTTGTTGACACTGGTTCTCGTGTTGCTTAGACTTGAGTGTACTGTTTACTTTGCTTTCTATATACCTCTGTTACTTCTTGGACTGGCCTTGTGGCCACTGTTGTTTGTGCTCGGACTGTGTGGTGACGTTGTGATCCACCCTGAGCTTCGTTTCTTGGACTGGTCTTGTGACCGTACTCGTTTGGTTCTGCTAGACACCCCTCACTTAGGCTATGGGGGTGTGTCAAATGTTGTAGTCTATAATGAGGTTTGTCTTAGGGGGTACAAAACTTAGGGTTAGCTATATGTACCCCAACCAACATCAATGCATCATCCATTCTTCATTCTGACAGCCTCCTCCGCATGGACCTCCACACCTCCAGTGCCTCCGGCCAGTCGATCTCGTACTTCAGGAGCGAAATCTGCATCAGCTCCCCCAGACGCGCATTGCACAGCGCTCCACGCATCCAGGACTTGATGACGTTCTGCCTGGAGAACCCCCTCTCGCACTCCACAGTGGAGAGGGGGAGCACAGCCAGCGCCTGCCACAGCAGAATGAGGTTGGGCCATCTCCTGCCAGTCATGTCCAAATACACAAAGAAGTTAGGGATTACAAATCCTGAAGTAATTCATGTACCCAAGCAGTAGCTTACCGCTTTGAGTCTGTGCTCCCAAGAAAGTTGGACAGGCCCTGTGCGAAGCTCTCCATCTCATGGTGAGTCTCCATGATCGCGCAGAACGTAGGGAGCTCCCTCTCTGCTGCTTTGAGGTCGAATCCCGGGAGCTTGTTGCGGAACAGCCTGCTGCATCCGTTCAGCCACTCCTTGCACTTCTTCTCTCGCTGGGCCTTGATCTTCGGCCACTTCCCCGCCTGGAACAGCTTCGTCGGGCCCAGCTTCCCAAGGTCATCCACCCGGTCATTGAGGTTGTCCACGCAGTCTCGGGCGAATTGGCGGCACAACTTCACGCAGTCTGCATAGGTGCTTCCCTGCTTGTGGCCCTTCAGCTTCCTCTCATGCATGGTGTAGAGGTGGTTGACCGGGCGTCCATCTCCATCCACGCCTCGCACCCGGACCTGCTTGCCTCCACCCTCCTTGAGCACCTTGAGGAAGTTCACCAGCCAGCTCTTCCCCTCGCCCCCGAAAGCTCTGTTTGTCGTCAAGTAGCGCTCCGACAGGTCACCCGTGGTGGACTCAATCGTCTTCGCAATCTCGGTCACATCCATCTGTCACACAGCAGCAATAGACAACAGGGAGTAGGTTCAGTCTCTATTGTAGGATTAAACCTCTGGTTCCAACACCATAATAGCATTCAGAACTTACCTCACGCCTCTGGAAGCAGCGGTTGAGGTCGTTCATGTCAGCCAGAATGTCAGCCAGGAAAAACAAACAGAACTGGAACTTGTAGCATGTCACAATCTCGTAGGCCTTGTGGTTGTGCTCCCAGAGCAGCACGATGCAAGCGCCGAGGACCTTGCACAGCCTGCCCACCGCATCACCTCGTGACAGCCACCGAACCGTGTGGATGCCTTGGACTTCGAGGTTCGTCTTGTAGATAACTCGCTGCAAGTACTTGAACCGCTGACTCCACACGCTCGAGTTTCCGAGCAGCGTCGCCACTGTGCGCACCACCTTGTCGACCATGCCTAGGTCCGAGTTTGAATCCGCGGCGTCCTTCACAGCCAACGCCTCACTGTAGGAAGCAGGGAATAGAAATCAAGAGTAGTTAGTACAACCACATGCGTATGAAACCTGCCCGAAAACAAACCAAGGTACACACCGGTGGGCGATGCAGTGACATGAAAACAGGTGCGGAACGTGTTCCCGAAGCCGCGCCACCAAGCCGTTCTCTTTCCCTGTCATGACCGACGCCCCATCAGTGTTGATGCCGACGATCTTGGACACGTCGACGGCTGCGGAGCGGAGATGGTTCATTAGCACCTCGAACAGAGACCCTGCATCACACCGCTCAACCGTCAGCAGCGTAAAGAACTTGCATGCGATCTTGCGATCCTTAAAAAACGTAAGGTACACAATCATGTGTTTCCCTCGCGTTCGGTCGGTGCTCTCGTCGCACTGGATGCCGAGGAAGGGTGATGCAAGGATGTGGTCCATCTGCACCCGCGTCAGGTATGTACTGATGCTGTGAACCATCTGTTGGAAGCCGTATCTGCAAGGAGGTAAATGAAATGGTCAATAACAGTTTAACAAACCACGACAAGCAACATTCATGGGCCAGCAATCACACAACAGTATTGATTACCGTGTCAGATAGACGCCATAAGATTGTCGAGGAATGTCTGGCGTTTCCTGCTCCGCAAGATGTCGCATCAGCTTCGGAAACATGCTGATTGGCGCGTCGCACTGGCACAGGAACTGCGTGGACCGCATGAGACGAATCACCTGCTGCCCCTCACGGATGCCGGCTGCAATCTTCAACTGTCGATCAACCGCCGCCGTGTGTGCGTCCGTATGCTCGTGCGCCCTGAAGGACTGCGTCTGCAAGTCACGGCCACCGTCATCACCTTGCATGGCGTATCTCGTGTTCCCCTTCCCGTACGACATGCAGATGCTGCACTTCACGTATGGAAAGCCGTCCTTGGTTTTCCCAAACACGAGCCAAGAAAAGTCACCCGACCACTTCGTGTCGTAGTTTATACTCGCCTCTAGGTACATCTGCTCTCGCAGCTGCGCCTTGGTGAGTGTGGGCGAGCCGGTATCCGCGCGCACAGGGATGTCAACTTCCCCTGGCAGCTCAGCTTCTTTCGGTGGAGGATCTGCCGGCTTTTCAGGCGGTGGAATACGGCGGCCTCCGACGACCAGAGTACTCTGCGACCACTTCCCAGATCGCACACGCTTGGGAGTGGAAGAAGCCGACGGCGGGCCAAGGGACACCCGCACCGTGCTTGGAGTGGGAGTAGGCGAGGGCGGTGGGGGATCTTTGCTGCAAGAAGCAACAGCCGGGGGGAGGGTGAAGGCGACAGGACGAGGAGAATCAGTAGGACTAGGGGTTATTATTGTTGCAGAGTCATGAACGGTAGACCTAGGAGGTTCTGGTGTGACGGGAGCAGCGGTAGCTCTAAGAAAATCGAGCCCAGACCGGGGAGCATCTGATGCTTTCTCCGGCTGGGCTGGCACTGTCGGTTTCTCCGGTAAAGGTGGCTCGTCAGGGCCACTCTAAGGAGCAGCTTCGTCGGCCGGCAGGCCCTCCATGGCGGCGAGAAAGATGAAAATTAGAGCGAGAGGGACGTGAGAGATTGAATGAACGAATTGGAAATAAAACTGCAGGAGGCGAAGCAAGCCTAGCAGTGGGTAGGGGGAAGGATGAGAAGGATGAAGATGGCGGGGTCATCAGGAAACCACCGCGGCGCGACACAAAACACTTGATGGCAGCATTCGTCGATAAATTCGGCCTTGCATTCAAGGCCGAATTCATTCACGGACTGCGGGACTGTCACCGCAAACTGTCAACAGGCATTTCTAGCGAATGGCAGAGGCATGCTGTGCACTGCGCGGTGCGCGTGGCAGCATCAGAACATTGATTTGCGTGCGCTGTCACTGTAGCTGTGCTGTACAGCAGAAGCTGGAAGTTTTTGGCGGTATTACGTCAGTCCTGCGAGTGAACGGGGTAACTCACATGGGGGCACGCGATGTAATGATTACACACAAGGGGGGTTTATCGATAGGAAAGTTCGAGGAACCTTCGTCTCGATACCCTCGCATTCAGGGTCCACGGAACGCATACTCTACATAGACAGAGTCCGCAACTACACTAGTCTGTGCCTAATTACAAGATTTCAGAGTTCGCAAAGTAACATGTCTGATTGGATCAGAGTTCACAAGTTGAAAAAACTGAGATTGCAGGGACCACCAAGTGAGAAGCCTGTAATCACCCTGAAATCAGGGTAATTACCCTGATAAAATCAGCCCTGTGTTGGAAACAAATGATTTAACGCTTCTTGTGTGTCGCAACATCGAACTGTAAACGAGGCGAACTACAGCGCAGCAACAGCGAGTCAACCGAGGAGGTTGACAAAAAGGTAACAGCCGGAGGTTACGCGAAGGTCAAAGGTCAGCGACCTTTGACTCGACAAATACAGCGCGACAGCAAGGACAAACAACTGACTCAATATTGAGCAGTTGCCCGAGTCGTCTCTCGAGCCAGGAAGTAACGCAGAGCGATGTGCTTCGTTCTGTGCTCCAGTCTGTGATCCTGACACAAGGCAATGGCCGCCTTGTTGTCGACGTACAGAACAGGAGGAGAACGAGGCCTCTCTCCCAAGTCAGTCAGCAGGTAGGTAAGCCAGCGTAACTCCTGTGCAGCCATGGCTGTGGCGTAGATCTCAGCCTCACAACTGGAGCCGAGAACAGAAGAGGAGCGAGTAGACCGCCAAGAAACAGAGCCAGAGCCAAGGCTGAAGGTGTAACCCTGTGACGACCGCTGCGTAGCCAGGTCGTCAACCCAAGAAGCGTCTGAGTGCCTAGTGAGGACAACTGGACTCCGCCCTCCAAGCACGAGCCCCATGCCCGATGTACTGCACAAGTAGCGCAGTACCCTCTTTGCAGCATCCATGTGCACCTTTCGGTGCCGACCAGGAGCCACGTAGCGAGCCAGAAGGCCAAGAGGGTACGCAAGGTCAGGACGAGTGTAGGTCATCAGGTACATGAGGCAGCCCACTAGCTCTGGGTAAGGACCACTCGGCTCTACGGACTCGTCCGAAGGCGGAGCTGAGAGCGAGTAACCTGTAGCCAGAGGAGTGGACTGTGGCGAGGACCAGGTGAAGCCGAAGCGCTAAAGGACCTGCTGCACCATGTGTGACTGAGTCAGTGTGATGGTGCGGCGTGCTCGGTCCCGGGTGATCTGCAAGCCAAGGTAACTGCGCAGCTCACCCAGGTCTGTGCACGTGCGTCTCTTCTGCAGCTCCGACTTCACCAGGGCGAGAGCCTCAGTGTCAGCAGTGGCAAAGACCAAGTCGTCAACGTACACGAGGATGTAGAACAGCAGCGGCGAAGTGTCAGTGCGCAGAAACAACGACGGGTCAGCTGTCGAAGGAGCAAACCCAAGTGCCGCAAGCGTCGTCCTTAGTGTGTCGTGCCACTCACGCGGCGCCTGGCGGAGACCGTAGACTGGCCGCCGGAGGCTCCACTGGGTACCAGGAGGGAACGTCCCAGTGAAGCCAGGTGGGCGGCGCAGCCAGATCTCCTCGTGCAGGCTACCCTGTATGAAGGTTGTGCTAAAGTCCAAGGAGTGAAGCTCGTAGTCACGCTGAGCGGCAACGTGCAGCAGCACCCGAAGAGTAGTCATCTTCGGGGTGGGGGAGAAGGTTTGGAAGAAGTCAACTCCCTCTCGCTGACTAAAGCCTCGTGCAACGTAACGAGCCTTAAAGACAGGCGGAGAACCCGGCGGCCGCTTCACCCTGAAAATCCACATGCCATCGACGATGTTCGCCCCAGGAGGGGGAACCTCGTCGACGTAAGTGCCTGTGGACTTCCAGGATGCCATCTCTGCGTCCATGGAGCTGCCTGCCACTAAGAGGAGTAGGGACCCGCGATCGCCTCAGCGTAAGAGCGCGGGGTAGGGATGTCTGGTGCATCCGGGTCTCCCTCAGGGGCAAGCAGCATGGCCACGATATTAGGCGCAGCGACTGCAAGACACTCAAGGTCCTCGTGCCTGTCCTCAAGGACGTCCGTGCCAAGAGCACACTCACCCCCGACGGACGGATGACAGACAGACTTAGACTCAGCAACAAGGCTAGCAGCGTAGTCTAGACGACAGGCAGCAGCAAAGTCAACAAGCTCAGCGACCAAGGCAGACGCAGCAGCAGACTCAAACGACGGGTCGGTGACAACAGTGGCTAACAGACGCGTGACAGTAGGGTGCTCAGCACGAAACCGGTTAGACTCAGGGTCCGGAACGTCAGGCAGAGAGGACTCAGGAGGAGACGGCAGAGGAACACGCTGCGGAGCAGAGGACGGACGACGGACAACGAGGTGCGCGCCGGGGACAGCCGGCGAACGCGGACGAGCAACACGACGACTGGTACGACCAGAACGAACAGGCGAGACAGGACGCGACGCAGGCTCACGACGCTCAGCAAGACCCCCTGGCTGCTCGGTGTAAGGAGAAGGAGCAGGCAGCAGGGAGTCAGGCTGTAACGGAAGACCAGTAGAAGACGGGAGGCTAAGAACCTGGCGAAGCACAGAGTCAGGCGGTGGCGGAGACGAC